TCCAGTCCGAGTTCGGGCAACTTTGAGCACACAAACCCTCTGCAGCCGTGGGCCGAGTGTAAGGCGGCGCTCGAGGCGGCGGCCCTCGACTTAGAAAGTTTCGGCACTTTGGATGTTCACAACTATTGAACACCCATTTCACTCGCTTTTCACTTTTCCTATTATTATTTATATATTTATAGTTATTATTAATGAATACCATTTATAACGCGACTAATCCTTACGACTACTCGTAAACACATTCTTTGAGGCATAGAATACAAGTTTGAATTATATTTGTATTTAATAGATTTTGTCGATTAATCATTTATTATTGTATTCTCACATTTCATAATAACTTTTGGATATTTTAGTTATTTTAAATTAATAGTGTAATAAATGATTTATGTTTTTAGTTTTTAATTTAAAACTTTTTACTAGTCTAGGCGTTCCCATTAAAGAATAATACTCAATTTTGTTTTTAGTTTTAATTTAAATATTGTTTATTTATTATTAACATAATGTTATCAAAACATTACTTTAAGAACCGAAAAGTCTTTTAAGAAACTGATATACAATTGAATGTATGAACAACTGGTTAACTGTCAATACATTGAATAGCGTGTAAAATTCATTGTCATTATAACTACTCATACAAATTGCTAAATTTTTGTCTAAATAGTATACAAATATTTGACATTTGACTTCTAGTCTATTAAAAAACTCAATATACAGATATAATTGTAAGCCTTTATACCTTTATGTCTAGACTTTTAGTATAATTTTCATGTGTTAATCAATTCTCAAACTAACAAATCTTATTATAAAAATAATTAAAGTGTGAATCAAAAGGAATATTTTAAATGTAAAGAATATATGGAAAAGACATACAAATGAATTGAGAATTTTGTTTCATTTCGATGACTGATTTGCCACATAATCTCTATTACAATAGCATTATTTGCTTCCATTGTATGTTATAATTACTGATCATATATTGTAAAATAGAGTCATTTATTTATTATTAGATAACAAACAAAAATTAT